TGTGATGTATGCTTTGTGTGGTGCGTGTTTTTTGTGTGTTGTAGGTGTTGTGTGTGTGTGTGTTATGTTTGTCTAGCGTGTGATGTGTTGGGCGTGATTTGTGTCTCTGTGTGCATGTAGTTCTGAAGCCCCAGGAGGCCCCAGGAAGCCCCAGGCGGCCTCAGGAGGCCCCAGGAGACCCCAGGAGGCTTCAGGAGGCCCCAAGAGGCTCCAGGAGGCCGCAGGAGGCCCCAGGAGGCCCCAGGAGGTTTCAGGAGACCCCCAGGAGGCTCCGAGGCGGGGTCTGGGGTGCCAGAAGGTTCAGAAAGCCCCAGGAGGCCCCAGGAGGTTCCAGGAGGCCCCCAGGAGGCTCCGAGGCGGGGTCTGGGGCTCGATTTTGGAAGGATGTTTCAAGCGAAACCGCCATTCCCTGAGAATCGGGGTCACAATTATTGAAATTACCATGTGCTTTTGAAGGTTTTATGTTAAAATGTTGAAATTCCCATGTGTTTTTGGACCCTGACGTCACGATCTGCGTGAGGGGTGCCACCGATTTTCAGAATTTCGAGGATGTCCCGAGCGAAACGCCCAGAAAAATCGCGGACGCGTGCGCATTAATCGCCTCTGAGCTCTACTCCCTCGGAGAGGTGCGTATGATAATATATATATATATATATATATATGTATATATATATATTTATATATATATATTATATATATATAATATATATATATATATATGTATATATTCATATAGAACATATAAAATATAGACGCGTATGCGTCTACTTACATATATAGCTTGCTTGAGAATTCGCAAGAGCGCGAGCACAGGCTTTCTTGTCACTCCTTGTTTCGGAACCATGTGCTATCCTCGTGGCGCTCGATTTTGAAATCCTTGCGACACCAAAAGTTTTAAAGCGATTTGGGCATGCGCGCGACGATGCGCGCGTGCGTACTTGATCCCAGTATTGGGGTTCTTGACAATTTGTGAGTTGTGATAAACGCGTGCGCGCGCATATGTGTTCCCAAAAAAGGGAGGCGCTACCAGTTTGGCTGGGATAATACGAATCCGTATTTCGGATGGGCGTGGGGCAGAATCGTGTGTACATTTCATCATGAAAAAAAAAGCAGTTAAATCCGGGGGGGGAGATCCGAATGCTTTGTTGGGAAGGGGAATCTATACGGTGCAGTTCACTTGCCGAGCTTGAAGATGTCAACTCCACTGCTCGCGCAATCATCCCACCCACCCACCCGCAATTTGGTTTGCAAAACCCATGCGGGACCGAGCACAGATATCGCTCCGGGGTCGTCTTGGAGCCCTCGGGGGCGTCTCAAGAGCGCCCCAAGAAGGCCTGAGAAGCAAGACGGCCGACGACGACGACGACGACGACGACGACGGCGGCGACGACGACGACACCGACGTCGACGACGAAGACGACGACGCCGACGCCGACGACGACGACGACGAAGACGACGACGACGTCGCCAACGAAGACGACGACGAGGGAGGAGGGAGGACGACGACGGCGACAACGACGACAACGACGACAACGACGACAACGAGGGAGGAGGGAGGACGGCGACGACGCGAACGACGAAGAAGGAGGAAGGACGGCGACGCCGACGACGACAATGACGAGGGAGGAGGGAAGACGACGACGAGACGACGACGACAACGACGACGACGACGGCGACGAAATAGGAGGGACGACGACGAGGCGCCGACGACGGAAGACGACGACGACGACGAGGGAGGAGGAGGAAGGACGACCACGGCGACAACGACGACGGAAACGACCACGACGCCAAAGAGGACGACGACGACGACGAACACAGGGAAAGACACAGGACGATGTAGGCGACGACGACGACGACGACGCGGGAGGAGGGAGGACGGCGACGACGACGACGACGCCGCAAGAGTGCGCGCGCACGCTTTTGTTGAAAATCCGTGTTGCGAAACCTTACGTTTTTGTAGGTTTTTTGGACGCGCGATTTTGAAATCCTTCCGAAAACCTATGGGTTTTGAAGGATTTCGGCGTACGCGCGCGACGACGCGCGCGTCTGCACTCGTCCCATGTTCTGCAAAGGATATTTCGCAAGAGCTCGCGCGTAAGCTTCGTTAGCAAGTGTTACGAAACCCTGTGTATGTTTTTGGGAAAGTCGATTGCGAAATCCTTCTGGCACCGAAGGTTTTTACCTAACAGCGAAGACTGATAGGTTTCTAGTGGTGTCAAAAGAGAGCATCTGATGACTCAGAAGGGAGGTCTGGGCGGCATCCGGACAGCGAGGGCCGGGCTCAGGGCCGGGCTCGTTTTAAGCAAACAGTCACACACTTCGTGCTCTTCGACCTCCCAGAACTCCATTCCCGGGCCACATTTTGAATGCCCGGAGCCAACTGTAGGCCACTTCGTGCTCTTCGACTTCCCAGAACTCCATTCCCGGGCCACATTTTGGATGCCCGGAGCCAACTGTAGGCCACTTCGTGCTCTTCGACTTCCCAGAACTCCATTCCCGGGCCACATTTTGGATGCCCGGAGCCAACTGTAGGCCACTTCGTGTTCTTTGTGTTCCCAGAACACCACTCCTGCTTCATATTTTGATTGCCCAGAGCCAACTGTGGGCCACTTCGTGATCTTCGTGTTTCCGAACATTAGTCCTGTGCCATATTTCGAGTGCCCGAGCTGAGGCAATCTGAGGCCGAGGCAGGCTGAGGTCGAGGCAAGCTGAGGCTGAGGCTGAGGCACGCCGAGGCAGGCTGAGGCTGAGGCTGAGGCAGGCTGAGGCTGAGGCAGGCTGGGGCTGAGGCTGACGCAAGCTGAGGCCGAGGTAGGCTGAGGCTGAGGCTGAGGCAGGCTGAGGCTGAGGCTGAGGCCGGCTGAAACTGAGGCTGAGGCCGAGGCAGGCTGAGGTTGAGGCCGAGGCAAGCCGAGGCAGGCTGAGGCTGAGGCTGAGGCTGATGCTGAGGCAGGCTGAGGCTGAGGCTGAGGCTGAGGCTGAGGCAGGCTGAGGCTGAGGCAGGCTGAGGCTGAGGCCGAGGCAGGTTCAGGCCGAGACAGGCTGAGGCTGAGACTGAGGCTGAGGCTGAGGATGAGGCCGAGGCAGGCCGAAGCTGAGACAAGGTGAAGCTGAATGGGGGGGGGGAAGGGGAGGGGGAGGGGAGGCTGAGGCAGGCTGAGGCCGAGGCAGGCTGAGGCCGAGGCAGGCTGAGGCTGAGGCGGAGGCACGCCGAGGCAGGCTGAGGCTGAGGCTGAGGCTGAGGCTGAGGCTGAGGCTGAGGCTGAGGCAGGCTGAGGCTGAGGCTGACGCAGGCTGAGGCCGAGACAGGCTGAGGCTGAGGCTGAGGCAGGCTGAGGCTGAGGCCGAGGCAGGCTGAGGCTGAGGCTGAGGCAAGCCGAGGCAGGCTGAGGCTGAAGCTGAAACTGAGGCAGGCGGAGGCATCCGTAGGAATCCGTAGGAATCCATAGGAATCCTTAGGAATCCTCAGGAATCCGCCGGCATCCTTAGGAATCCGTAGGCATAGTTAAACATCCTCAGGAATCCTTAGGAATCCTTAGGATTCTATTGGATCCTAAGGCCGTTGCCGCTGCGACTGTCATTGCGAATGCGACTGCGACTGCGAGAACAGCAGAATTCTACAACTGGATTCTCACCTGAATCTGAAGGGGGATGCTTCCAGATATGCTTATACACATCGCTGTTAGGTTGCTTTGCTGGGATAATTGAAGGATTTCGGCATGCGCGCGCGACGACGCGCGCGTGTGCACTTCGCCACATTTTTGCAAGGGATTCGTGAACAAATGTTTTTTTTTTTTTTTTTTTTTTTTTTTTTTTTTTTTTTTTTTTTTTTTTTTTTTTTTTTTTTTTTTTTTTTTTTTTTTTTTTTTTTTTTTTTTTTTTTTTTTTTTTTTGTTTTTTAAAAAAAAAAACATGTCACCGCATAGTGCTTTTTACAAAAGAACCTCAGGGGGGGATACCGGTTGGCCTGGGACATTGCGATTTCATATTTAGGATGGACATGTGGTCAGAATCATATGTGATTTACATACCCGAAAGGGGGGCGATAACGCCGGGGGGCGGGGGGGGTAGAGTCTATTCTTTTTTTAGAAAAGGAGAATCTAGGTTCTGTAATTTCGGCGGCGACTGGGCGGCGACGGCGATAACATAGCCGCCAGACAGACAATCATGCCCAGACGACGGGCGGCGACAGAGCGGCGACGGCGGCAACGTAGCCGCCAGACCGCCATTCGGGTCCAGACGTCGGGCGGGAGACGCGGCGGCAACGGGGCGGCGACGGTGGCAACATGGCCGCCAGACAGCCATTCAGCATCAGTTTCGTATTCCAGAAATGCGAGCCCCTAAGTGCGAGAGCAGTGTATGGGGAATGATAATCTACAACAAACCTAAACCACATCATAATCCCATATATAAATAAAAAATAAAACAAAAACAAAAAACGTGGCGGGAGGCCCGAGGACGCTCGGTCCGCATTCGCCTGAGACTTCCTCAATTGATTTCAGACTCGTGCTCTCGCTTGAATGCCCGCAACATTTCTGGCCCGGCCGGCCGGCAAGAACTTGCATAAAAGGTACACTTGGTCGTGCTCTCGCTTGTGACGGCAATGGACAAACCTCCCTGGAGTAAACCACCCTTTAGTGAAAACGACCTAGGGCCGAAACCGACGGACCTGGACCCGCAAAAATGACGGCCGCGACGCCCTCTCGCGAACGGACAACGGCCAATTCGCTGGGGGACATCGCATCTAGATTTAATAGTTTACACCTCGTGGTTCAACGGATTTTCACGCAGGTTGTCGGCCAGTGAGCGTGCAACCTGTCCCTTGGACCTCCACGGACCAACATGCGGCGCCGCGTTCCTCGATCTTCGATACTCGGTCCTCGACTATCTCGATCCTCGCATCTCGACCCTCGAGCGATACTCGAAAACCACGATCGCGAACCTCGAGCGACGATCGACAACGATCCTCCCGACAACTACCCCTCGTGTTCCAATTGGGCCTCGCTCGAGCAGCTCCGGCGGGACCTTCGCCAGCATCTGGTAGGTGGAGGTCGGCTGGAGCGTCCGCAGCGCGTCCTGGGGCAGCGGAGGCTCTCCCCGGGGGCAACGCAATCGGCATCGCCCGTCGTGGACTGCGCAAGGGGTTGAGGGGGCGGCCGACCCGAGAGGCAGCTGCCGTTGCTCTTCCTTCTCCTCCCTTCTTTTCCTCCAACCCATCCTCCTCCCTCCTCCCTCCTCCCTTCTCCTCCCTCGTCACTTCTCCCTCCAACTCCCCCTCATCCTACTCCACCCTCCTTTTCCCTCTTCCTCCCTCCTTCTCCCTCCTCCTCCCTCCTCTAGCCGCCTCTTCCTCCACCTCCTCCTCCTCCTCCTCCTCCTCCTCCTCCTCCTCCTCGTTCGCTTCGGCGGAAGATAATATCGGAGAGACTGTGATCCACCGCCGCTTTACTGTGGGAGAATTCGCCCCCCTCTTCCTCCGGAGCCCGGGGTTCCCCCTCCTTCCCTTCCGAAATCCCCCCCCCCTGCTGGCCCCCCCCCCTTCCCTTCTCCCCGGCAAGACCCCCCTCCCCCTCCCCTAACCCCCCCCCCCTCTGGAAAACCGGGGGGGGGGTCACTGCCGGTTCGAACCCCCCCCTCGAAAACCGGGAGGGGGTCTCGAAAACCGGGGGGGGGGTCACTGCCGGTTCGAACCCCCCCCTCGAAAACCGCGGGGGGTCACTTCCGGTTCGAACCCCTCCCCCCCCCACGCTCACCGCCAGTAAACGACTCCCGGGTCCCTACCACCGTCCACACCACATCCCCCACTGCTGTCCCCAGCACCACTGTCTTCACCACCACTGTCCCCGCTGTTCCCACCACCGTCCTCACTGTCCCCACCAGTGCCCCCACCACTGTCGCACTGTCCCCAGTGTCCCCGCCACTGTTCCCACCACGGTTCCACTCTCCCCACTTTCTCCACGGCCCCAACCACTGTCCCACTGTCCCCACTATCCCACTGTCCCCGCCGCTGTCCCACTGAGCTGGCCCACTGTTCCCACCACTTTCCCCACCATTGTCCCCAGTGTACCTCTGTCCCATTATCCCACCGCCGTCCTCGCCACCGCCCTCACCACTGTCCCCACCACCACTGTACACTGCACTGTCCCACTGTTTCCACCACATTCCCACTGTCACCACACCAGTGTCCCCACCACCCCCTTCCCCACCACTGTCCCACTGTCCCCACTGTTCCCACCACCGTCCCCACTGTCCCCACCAGTGCCCCCACCACTGTCGCACTGTCCCCAGTGTCCCCGCCACTGTTCCCACCACGGTTCCACTCTCCCCACTTTCTCCACGGCCCCAACCACTGTCCCACTGTCCCCACTATCCCACTGTCCCCGCCGCTGTCCCACTGAGCTGGCCCACTGTTCCCACCACTTTCCCCACCATTGTCCCCAGTGTACCTCTGTCCCATTATCCCACCGCCGTCCTCGCCACCGCCCTCACCACTGTCCCCACCACCACTGTACACTGCACTGTCCCACTGTTTCCACCACATTCCCACTGTCACCACACCAGTGTCCCCACCACCCCCTTCCCCACCACTGTCCCACTGTCCGCACTGTTCCCACCATTGTCCCCGCTGTCCCCACCAGTGCCCCCACCAGTGTCTCACTGTCCCCACTCTCCCCACCAGTGTCCCATCACGGCCCCACACTCCCCACTTTCCCCACGGTCCCCACCACTGTCCCACTGTACCCACCACTGTCCCACTGTCCCCGCCGCTGTCCCACTGTGCTGTCCCACCGTCCCCACTGTCCCCGCCGCTGTCCCACCTTTCCCACAATCCCCACCACTTTCCCCACTGTACTACTGTCCCACCACTGTCCTCACCACCGCCTTCACCAGTGTCCCCACCACTAGCGTCCCCACCACTGTCCCACTGTCCCCACCACTGTCTCGCTGTCCCCTCACCACTGTCCCCACCACCACCGTCCCCACCACTGTCCGCACCACTGTCCCACTGTCCCTGCACCCCTGTCCCCACCACCACCGTTCCCACCACTGTCCCAGCATCCCCACCATTGTCCAACTGTCCCGAGGAGCGGGAATCGTTTGCCGGTGGCGAGAGGGGGGGAGAAAAGGTGTTCGAACCGGTGGTGACCCCCCCCGGTTTTCGAGAGGGGGGGGGGGTTCGAACCGGTAGTGACCCCCCCCGGTTTTCGAAGGGAGGGGGGGGGGTTCGAACCGGCAGTGACCCCCCCCCCTTTTCATGATGGATTGGGGGGGGGTGCGAACCGGTAGTGACCCTCCACCGTTTTCGAGGGGGGGGGAGGACGGGTTGGGACCCCCCAGTGAGCCCCCCTGGTTTTCCGCCAGCAGCGGTAGAACACGCTCTTTCTAATATCGGGCTCCAGATGGCGCCGCATCGCCGATGCATCGGCGATGCGGAGCGATCTTCTGAACCCATCTAATGCCGCCCTAGTTCCATGTGGGCGGCCTTGAGCAGAAGGGCGAGGGACAGGGGGCGTTCTGAGAAGGCGGGGGGCTTCTCAGAGGGGATCGGGGGCTTCTGGGAAGACATTTCAGAAGCCAGGAGGGCTTCTGACAAGCGAAGGGCCTGCTCAAGAGGACGCCCCCCCTCTCCCTGGCCCGCCCTCTTCTTCATGCAGCCGATGAAGCCCTCGAAGAATGTTAAGTGCACATTAATTTGAAAATATCTTGAGGCTTGCAAGCTCTAGCGTTCGAATTGAAGGCCACTGAAAACCGATATGACACTTCCGACAGACTCCCAAAGAGACGAGGATGCCAAGACACATTCGAACATGATGGTTTGGTACCGACTTCACCCGATCCTCGAACCAACATTGGTGCCTGGGTAAGCCGGACTCTCGACGTGTCCGTGCCGCCCGGAGGCGAGCAGAGACACGCAGCAAAGACGCATCAGCGCCCCTGTATGATGTTGTGAATTCCATTTGCCACCTCCTCAGCCCTGAATCAAGGCACATGCGTAATTACACCACGCTCGTTAAAATCAGTGTTAAAACTTGAATTAGTTGATAACAAAGAGGAACCATTCGGGGCCAATGGGATTATTCGAATGCGCCCGTACCTCAAAAGAAACTGGCTCTCTGAAGGGCACGTACAGTGAAACCTTTGTTCGCTCTGGTTTGTTTTTCCCCACATCCATAACGGGGTTCTTGTTTTCTATGCACACCCCCGCGCAGGAACAGCGCACACCTCACCCCCTCTCTTCGTCAGTCACATATGCATCATCCTCACACACTCATCAGCGACATTATCCTCATCATCGTCTCCATCATCCTCATCATCTTCATCAACACGTCCATCACTCACTCAATCACTCGCTCACCCACTCGCCACCACACCATGGCCATCACTATCATGATCACTACCATGGTCACCATCTCACTCGCACTCACGCGCTCAATCATACTCTCGCACACAACCTCACAAACTCACCTTGAGGGTAGTCTCGAGCGGGAGCACCCTGTCACCACTATCATCATCACTACCATCATCACCATCTCACTCGAACTCACGCGCTCACTCATACTCTCGCACACACACGCAAACTCACATACCCACATTGAAGGAAGTCTCGAGCGGGAGCCCCCTCCCTATGGGGTCCGCACTTCATGTTCGAATCCCGAGCGGTCATCGGCCTACCACAGCAGGCCTAGCACTTGAGCGCTCCCAGGAGGCGAATCGTGAGGATGTCTCGAGCGGTAGCCTCGACTGTGGGCGAATAGCGGGGAAGTCTCAGGCGGGAGCCTCGTCTCTGAGTGAATTGTGAGGAAGTCTTCGAGCGCGTCATCCAACACCTGTTAGTATCGTCACTTTTGGGTTCCCCAGTCATCGTCGTCATCATCATCATCATCATCACCAACATCATCATCACCATCATCATGATTGTCATCATCATCATCAACATCATCATCACCATCATCATCATGCTCATCATCATCATCATCATCCTCCTCCTCCTCATCCTCCTCCTCATCCTCATCCTCATCCTCATCACCACCACCATCATCAACC